GGAGCTCCCAGCACCTGACCATGTGGGGTCAAAGAAGCCACTTGCCCGTCCTGTAGCATCGACGCCGTCCAGCAGGAACTGAGAGTCGGTGACACGCTTCGCTGGCGCGACCACGCGCGCGGGTGAAACTGGTGGCTCTGACAGGCTAATCAAGGTAAGCAGGCCAAACTGGTCTCGCGGTCGGTGGTGATACCAAGCACGTTGAACGCTGCTTGAATTGCACCATGTGGCATCGTCCACCGACGGACACCTCTGGATCTGGCAGAGACGGCAGCCCGTTGAAGTCGTTTCGATAGCTATGACATGTCTTTCAGCTTCGATTATGAACTGCATTAACTGCATGCATACACGCTGTAATAATGAATGCCGCGTAATGTGCTACTTCTTTTGCACAAATTAGATAATTGCTCTACGGCATAAGGAAATGATAAACGCTTTTGTTTCGGTCTAAAACTGGTGAAATATGTTTCTGAACGAACAACCGGGAGGTCGTGCCGTTCGGTGTGGAAATTATTGGTTAAAATTATCATTTTTAGAAGTAAATCAATAAAAGAGCTCAAAACTACGAGTCCATCGACATTTCTTTAGCTCTGAGTCATGCTGTTGTGGCATGGCTCACGTTATTCTTAATTTCACTTGATGTAATGTCCACGTCAAATGCCCTGTGACATCATCACATACGTACCTTTACCTCCATCGCCGGGTAACAAGTGACAGTTACGACGGCGTCAGGGCGTTTGCCTTCGTAAGTCTAAAGTGCACAGGTGTGTGAAATTGTGATCAGCTGTGTGCTTACCAGCTACAGATACACACAGCGAATAACCACAGGCACCAGTTGACAACGAGCCTCGCACCGGGTTGGGACTTGTACCGGTCGCTGTCCTTAGTTCTAAAGGGGCCCAACGTGAGCTGACTCCACTGATGCAACGTGAGCCTGTTTCGCCGAGCGAGCAGTGCGGTTGACAGACGTTGGACGCGCATTGCATGCTTCGCGTCCGTCCCTGCAGGATGGGACCGCAATATCGCAGAGTGGGTTGCGCCAGCTGACCCGGCCCCTGCGGACGCATCGCGCGTGGTCGGCGGAGTCCGAGTGCGGATTCGGCGCGCCTTGCTGCGCGGTAGAAGACCGTACGTTGAAAACAGCCAGAGCTTCGAATTCGAGACGGCATTGCGCTAGGTTTTCGACCATATCTGGCTCAGGT